CCTCGGCCTGGCCTGCTGTGGTGGGTAAGGCGGGGTTGGCCAGCCAGAGTGCGATCTGTGCGTCCTGGGTCAGGGACGGACAGGTGGTGCTTGCAAAGGCAGCTTGCTTGTGGTCGGGCAGCAAGCGGGCAGCCCGAGGCTGGTTCTGGGCAGGTGGTGGGTGGGGTGGCTGGTCAGTGCAGAGGGGCCCAGCCTGCCCCTTCCTTTCCGGGCCTCTAGGCCCAGGCCGTACACGGGGCAGGTGCAAGCACGGCCCTGTCTGCAGAGTGCTCCGCATGTGTGTGCAAGGGTGAGCTGAGCGGGCCTTGGTGGCGATGGCTTCTTTTTTGCTCTCTGGGGAGACCCCTGTGTCTGAGCTGGAAGGAGGGTCCTCACTGCAGAGCCCGGAGGAGGGTGGGCCCCAGGCTGAGAAGTAGGCCCCCGGCCAGGGCCCAGAGGCTGTGCCCCGCATGGGCCACCCCATTACAGAGATCCTCCTCACAGCAGCTTATGTCCTGCACCTCCAACTTCGGCAGGTTTACCTGGCCCAGCCCCCCGAAAGTGAGCCCTTCCATCAGCTTCGAAGCCACGTTGCAGGAAGGGGCACAGCCCTTGTGGTGAGTTCTGATCTTCTTCCCTGCGGGCGAGAGGCGGGGTGCCTGCCTGGGATCCCTTCCCAGAGACCGCTCGTCCCTCTGTCTCAGGCCTCCTGGCTGTCCACCCTTGGCTCTCCCATGTAGGGAGCCTTTCCCCTGACCAAGACCCTCCTGCAGAGGCAGCTGGAGGCTCCCCTTCTGTGGATGGATGGGGCATGCAGTATGCAGGGGACAGATGTGAACCTGCCATACCCGCCCTCCTTCAGGAGGCCAGGCGCCTCTGAGCACAGTCCCCTGAACCCTCCTTTGGGGTGCTCCTTTCACACAGCCCGCTCAGGCTCCGGGGGTGTGGGGCGCTCACCACTCTCAGTCAGGGTCATGGTCACAAGGCTCCCGTAGCAGACGCTGGACTCCACGGCACAGGTGATGGGCTGGCACTGGCTGATGTCCTCACTGCCCCCACATGTGTAGCACTGCAGGCCCAGGGCTGGCCGGGATAAGGCAGGCTGGGTTCAGGCCCTGCAGGCAGGACCCCACCCGGCTGGAGTGTAGCCACCCTCTGCAGGACTCTGCCCATCCTCCAGGGCTGGAGGACAGACCCCTCACAAACTCATAGTCACACGGCCTCCCCCCCGCCAGGTCCCTGCAGATCCCTGGCTGCTCACCGGCTTACCCTAAAAATACCAGCGGGAGTAGGCAGACGCCCCTCATGGCTCTGAGGGGGCACCGGTGCACGAAGCTCTCTCCTGGTGGTGGCAGACCCACTGGCTCCAGCCTCCAGCCTGCAGCGTCTGCAGTTGCTTCCTCAGGGAGAGAATAAGTACTGCACCAGGGCCAGAGATGGGTGGGTTCTTGTCCCCACCCTTATTCAGAGTTCCAGATGTGGGCGTTGCCCAGGGACCTGTATGAAGTAGAGGGCCCTGGAGGGGCTCAGGGCCCAGCCCTGGGGAAGTTGGGGTGGGCAGCACTTGGGACGTGGGGGCCCCCTCACAGCCTCCCTTCACCCTCATGTGGTCAGGGGTCCTTCAGGCCTCGTCCCCTCCCTGCCCGGCTGCCAAGACCTTGTGCAGGGCTGGAAGGAGTGACTGGCTGAAATCCAGCTCCTCCCCAACAGCGTATAAACAACCGGATGCTTTGCAGAACTCTGGGCAGGAAGCCGAGCTGTTCTACCACTCCCGTCCACAGGCGCCCTGGGACTGGCCTTGCCTTGCTCAGAGCTTCGAAATGGACATCTCCCGGAACTGCATACCTCCTGGGCCACTTTCTCTCAGTGGAAGCCTGTCTTGGCAGGCGGGGCCTGCTGGGCTGAGCTCCTCCTGAAACTGAGCAAGGACCCCCTACTGTATTTTCTAGGGTTCCTAAAATATAGTCCATTTACATTGTAATGGCCCAGAGTAAGGAGTAAGTCTTCCGACTTTGGTTATAATAACCAGCATGGACCATGAGTGAGGGCCATTTGACCTCTAAAACTCTCACTGAGAGGAAGGAGAAGGTTTTCATTTCAACATGTAAGATGTTTTATAGGCTGGCAACTGCTGGTTGTGAGCTCAAAGACCCCAGGCTGAATGGCTCCAGACACCTGAAGAGAAATTTGATTATCTAAGGCCTCACCAATCAAGAATGTCCATGAGGGCCAGCAGGTGGTGTGGTGGTTAAAGGCGCTGGATTCCCATGTAGCTCACCGCGGTTTGAGTCCTGGACCTGGCGGCTTGCTTTCTCACTTTCCTCTTCTCTCTCTCTCTGATCAAATTTAAAAAAAATAATAGTAACAAATGGAAATAAATAAATAAATAATTCTTTGAAAAAAAAAATGCCCACAAGATGATCATGCCCTCGTGAACCAATCATTGAACTGCCCATGTGCCTAGAACCTCTGCCCCTACTTTTGCCCTTAAAAATGCATGTGGGGAACATCTCAGGGAGACCAGGTCTTTTCAGCATGAGCTGCCTGCTCTCTTTGCTTTGAGCTTCGCAATAAAGCTGTGCTTTCCTTCACCACACCGTGTGCCTATGGCTTGGTTCCATAGCGCTTGGGCGAGCGAACCTGATTTGAGTTCGGTAACACTCCCAAGAACCTCCCCATAGCTCCCCCTGCTCAGTCTCCTGGGCCACAGCATCGCCCTGGCAGGTGAAGCAGCCACTGTCTGACTGAGGGCCCTGCATGGCTGTGTCGCACAGGGGCTGCTCCAGGCAGCCCTTACCTGGCCCCCACACAGCCGCTTCTGTCTACCCTCGCATGTGCTCAGAGCATCAGTGCCTGACAGGCTGCAACTCCAGCTGTCTGCCACGTGTTACCTGCCACTCTCCCTGTACGGGTGTCAGTGTCTGACAGCATAAGGTCCCATCGCTGCAGTCATAGCCCCAGAGAGCTGGGCTTGCAGGATGGCCTACTGCACTCACAGGTCCCACGGAGGGCCCCGTGCCGCTGGAGTACAGACTGGAAGGGCTCCACTGAGGAGGTGGGGAGGGGAAGAAGGGAGAGAGACAGAGAGAGATGGATGGGAGGAGAGATGGGAATGGGAAGGAGAGAGGTAGAGAAGAAAGCGAGGGGGCCTGTGGGTAGAGAGCCAATTTTGGGGTGGGGCTGAGGCTAATGGGGCCAGAGAAAGTCACCGTCACTGCCTGAGTGAGCCAGTAGGGGAGATGCTGGGCAATGCAGAGAGCGGCAGGTACTGCTAGCTTCCCCAGCCTCACGTCTAGCGCACCCAGCAAGCCTGTAGGCGTCCTGAGACAGTGCATCAGAGGAAGCCCGCGGAGGGCACACTCATGATCAGGGCTGGGGGCGGGGAGACCAGCAGTTAGGGTAATGGCTATGTCGCTGGACTCCCATGTAGTCGACTGTGGTTTGCGTCCCGGACCTGGGGGCTTAAAACTCACGCTGGGTGCGTGTGGGTGCGTGCATGCCCAAGATCCCGAGAGGAGAATGGAGGAAAAGGGATTGCGGTGTGGCCATCCTCCCTGGAGGGGTGATTTCTCGTTTTATATCTCTCTGTCTCTCTGTCTGTCTGGCGAGTGCACGTGCCCTATAGCAAAAACCTCTCAAAAAAAAAAAAAAAAAAAAAAAAAAAAGATCAGGGCTGGGGAGGCCAGGTCAGCGCTCACGCCTTCACAAGGAAGGGACCCAGTGACAGAGCACCAGCTCCACTCCAGTTTAGGTGCGTAGGAGAGCACCGCACTTTAGCAAACAGCTGAGACCTTTTGAAGCAAGAAGACTCAGGGCACCGCAGAAAGAAGGAGGCAGAGGACGGAGTCCAGGACGGGGGCTCCCCATTGCTGGGAAAGGGTGAGCGAGGGGCCCCAGGGGCCCTACTGCCACGAGGACAGAGACAGATCCCTGAAGCTCCCAAGGCTGCTGGACTCCAGGGAAGGAATGCAGCAGGGACACCCCCTCCCTCTCGGCCCCAGACAACCAAGGCGCACGGCTGCTGCTGCCGCTTTTGTTCTTAGGTTTTCGCCATAGGGTGTTATGTGCTTACCAGAGAGAGACAGAGGGGAAAGTAAGAACACCTCCCACGGGGGAGGCCCACTCTGCAATCCCTCTTGGGATTTGAGCACACACATGCCTGGTGTGATTCTCCAGATGCCAGCTCCAGGACTCGTGCTGTGGTCAGCCATGTGGGGGTCCAGCGTCTTAATCACAACATCTGCAGGACCTACATGGTACTATTTTGAGAGCAGAACCACTGCTGAACAGACCCCTACCCAGAGAGCCATTAGCCCCGGTATCTCTCCATCTCTGAGGCCCTATGAACATCCCATAATGCCACACAATCGGCTGAAATGTGGCCACCGCAGCCTGATGCAGCAAGACATATGGGACACTTGTGTGCTACTCGCCCTTGCTGGCTGCTGCACATACTCGGAAACTGCCACGGGGTCTCTGGGACCAGAGTGCCCTCACCAGGGATGGATCTCCACTTGCAGCGCCACCAGAACCTGAGCATGACCACTGGAGCCCGTGGGCTGCGTCCCATAGGCCTCTGCATTGTGGGAAACCGTGCTTCAGCCCCACAGTGCTGCAGGAGCCCGTGTGTCCCGACAGCGATCACGGGCCGTTTCTGCCATCCCCCTGTCACTGCGCACTTGGTCAGGACTCGGAGGTCAGCTCCCTCAGCTCCTGACACGGAGAGTGATTGCTTGACCTGCCCAGCAGCTCCCCCTCAGCAAAACCGTGTCATTACCACTACAGGTATTTGCAAGCCAGACTACTGAGGTGCACGCAAACATCACTGAAGCTGCTCACAGCCTAGGAGACCGTGTGGGCTACGCTACTGTGCCCGTCTGAGACCAGAAACAAAGCATCCTATCCCACCAACGCTATAAGACACACTTTCAGGAAAAAGCCATTCCTTAAGAAAGGTATTTCATAAAATAAGAAGAGATGATTATTTCAGGGATGCTCAAATATCAACACAGAGAGAAAGTACCATGAAAAAATAAGGGAATATGCATCCTCCAAAAGAACACGGAATGAAGGCCGTATGTGACAAACGCATAGCTCACGTCATACTCAGTGGGGAATATGGGTATCTACTTTCCTCACACCTATTCCACATAGTATGTAAGTCCTAGCTACTGCAATAAGGCAAGAGAAAAAAAAGGCCTTTAAATTGGAAAGAAAGAAGTTACATAGTTACTGTTTGCCAATGACATAATTACATACATAGAAAAACTCAAGGAAACCACCAAAAATCTCTTAGAATTGGTTGACAAATTTTTTTTTGGAGACTTTTTTTGTTATAGGGCGTGTGCACTCGCCAGACAGACAGAGAGAGACAGAGACAGAAAGCGAGAAATCACCCCCAGGGGGGATGGCCACCCTGCAATCCCTTCTCCTCCATTCTCCTCTCGGGATCTTGGGCACGCATGCACATGCGCCCTGTGTGAATTTAAGCCACCGGGTCCGGGACTTGAACCGCGGTCGACTACATGGGAGTCCAGCGACATAGCCATTACGCTAACTGCTGGTCCCGGAATTGGTAGATACATTAAGCAAAGTTTTAGGATACAAAATCAACATAGAAAATAATAAACTGACAAGACAGAAATCAAGAAAGCAATCTCATCTAAAATACACACACACACACACATGCAAATGAATTACCTAGGAATAAATTTAACTATGGAGGTGAAAGAGCTCTACAATAAAAATGATAAACACTGATGAAAGAATTGGAAGGAAACACGTGCCTCCGTGTGTGTGCGCATGCATGCGCGCACACACACACACACACACACACACACACACACGCCATGTTTATGGATCAAAATAATCTAAGATGTTGGTACTACGCCCCCACGGGCTGCTCCGAAAAGCCATCTTTGCATTGTTTCCGGGTCGGGCTTCCTCCGCCGCCGCCGCTGCCTCCGACTCCGCAGCTTTATCGCCAGGGGCCCGAACTCTCACTTTGTTTGTAATCCCTTTCATCGGATCACAGGCGTGCCCCACCGTAGCTCCGAGATCACCACCGACTTGAAGGAGAAGGAAGTTGTGGAGGAGGCGGAGAACGGAAGAGATGCCCCCGCTAACGGGAACGCTAAGGAGGAAAACGGGGAGCAGGAGGCTGAGAACGAGGGAGACGAGGAAGAGGAAGAAGGCGGGGAGGAGGAGGAAGAGGAGGAAGGCGGGGAGGAGGAGGAAGAGGAGGAGGGCGGGGAGGAGGAGGAAGAGGAGGAGGGCGGGGAGGAGGAGGAAGAGGAGGAGGGCGGGGAGGAGGAGGAAGAGGAGGAGGGCGACGGTGAAGAGGAGGCCGGAGATGAAGACGAGAAGGCTGAGGCAGCTACGGGCAAGCGGGCAGCTGAGGATGACAAGGACGAGGGTGTGGACACCAAGAAGCAGGAGACCAGAGAGGATGACTAGACAGCAGAAAAAAAAAAAGGAAAAGTTAAACTTAAGAAAAGGCCGCCGTGACCTATTTATCCTCCACTTCCCGTCTCAGAATCTAAACGTGGTCACCTTCAGTAGAGAGGGTCACCTTCGAGTAGAGAGGCCCGCCCGGCCGCCCACCGC